AAGTTAAGCATGAGCCAGCAGTGTGGCCTTGTGGCCAAGAAGGCCAATGGTCTCCCGGGGTGCATTAGGCAGAGTGTTGCCAGCAGGTGGAGGGAGGTGACCCTGCCCCTCTCCTCAGCCCTGGGGAGGCCTCACCTGGAGTCCTGTGTCCAGTTCTGGGCTCCCCACTGCAAGAGAGACCTGGCACTACTGGAGAGAGTCCAGCGGAGGGTGACAAAGATGATGAGGGGACTGGAGCATCTCTCCTGTGAGGAAAGGCTGAGGGAGCTGGGCCTGTTCAGCCTGGAGAAGAGAAGACTGAGAGGTGATCTCATCAATGTGTTTAAGTATCTGAAGGGGGAGTGTCAAGAAGATGGGGCCAATCTCTTCTCCGTGGTGCCCAGCAACAGGACAAGAGGCAACGGGGCAGAAACTGAACCACAGGCAGTTCCGTCTGAACCTGAGGAAAAACTTCTTCACTGTGAGGGAGACAGAGCACTGGAAGGGGTTGCCCAGAGAGGTAGTGGAGTCTCCTTCCCTGGAGACATTCAAAACCCACCTGGACGTGATCCTGGGAAATGTGCTCTAGAGGACCCTGTTTTGAGCAGGGAGGTTCATCTAGATGATCTCCAGAGGTCCCTTCCAACCTTGGCCATTCTGTGATTTTGTGATTTTGTACAGAGTATATTGAAAAAAATTTTATACCACCTCAGCTCAGTCCTAAGGGAAATAAATCAAACATAAGAGGCATAAATAGCTGTTGTTGTGTTTGTACATTGTATAAATTTCATGTCAAATACAACACATAAAGCTTTTGTGAAATAAAGTAGATGCTATATTTATTCTTATGGCTAGCTAGGGACAAGAAGGTTACTATGGTGTTACTATATAGTTAGTTTACTTCTAAGAGAGAGAGTAAAATAAAACTTTTACCTCTCATATTTTACTGAAGAACTTTCAAGAAAAACAGGCACAACAGCATCAAAATGGGAACTTCATTCTTACTGTACAAATCAACTGCAGAGTAAAATCAAGCTCAGTTTCGTTTCTGTTTGCTTATTTATGATTATGGCTAATGCTCACAGAATATCTCCAACAGGTTTGCATTCCCTACTGCCCCTATATCAGAGAAAGCTCTGAGAAAACTTTCCTTCCTTAATCCATCACTGCAAGTAGTTTCAGCAGGCATTATAACAGAGGAAAGAGAAAAATAAATTGTAGAGGAACTTTCAGCAACACATACCTTACAGCTACAGCTGATGCAGTCTTCCTTCCTCTATTTTCCTTCTGTAGAGTGCCGTTATCATCTATGCATCCTCCCTGCCCAAGGCAAGCCTCCAACTTGTTTATCTGTAGAAAAGAGAGGGAAGTAGGATAGGAAAAAGACTGTAACTGAGCTGAGAAATAACATGATTTAGTAAATCACTGACCTTAGTAAGGCTGTACATTAAAGCTTAAAAACACCCGAGACCTTAAAATATTTCCTCACTTGGAAATCACAAAGCCTTCATTGTGGGTCATCTGTACTTTTACTAATTTTTTTTTGACAATAACATATCTGTGCTTAATGAAAAAGTTTCTTGCAATAATTGTACTTTGTTCAGTACTGGAGGTTATTAGTAATATAAAAGATGAATAAACTCTACCTGAAAGAGCTAGGCAGACTAGATAGCTGCTTCTGCTCAGAAATGTAGATAAAAACTCCGGTTTCTATTGGCAAAAGAAGATGGCTATATCCTACTTTGCATTAAGTGTGATTCCTATCTTTCATTCACAACATAATTTAGCGAAATTAGTCTGGAAACTCTTTCTTAAGGTTTTCACGTCAGAGTGCTAGGTGCAGGTCAAGATACATTATTCTAGATGCAGTTCATAGAAAGTTTCTTTTCAGCTGAATTTAAGTCCCAACATTTTTAGCTTGCAGGAAGGAATGCCACATTACCAATAAGTTAAGTGAATTCTGTGTGCGGAAAATGGAAACATATTTATCTTTAAATAACTAGTCTGTTCTCCACACACTACAATAGAGTCCTAGGAATTTTAATAACTTGCTAAAATAGTACAAAATAAAAAAGAGAAACCATGCCTGTGATGCATTTATATATATATTTTTAAGTGTGGAAACTTTCCATCTGCTCAGGAAGGCTCCAACCTTTCAATGCTAGGCAATCTGCAGCAAAGTCACACAGTGCTCAAAATGTTTAGTTGGGTAAGCCCTAACTATTGTTCGGGAAACATCTTCAAAGTAATGCCTGCCAAGTCAGCTCTCTAATCAGAGCTTTCTAGAAATCTCCCTGATTCCTTGGCCTTTAATATCTTTTCTACATGCCTACAACACTGTAGAAGAGTCCTAAAACGGCCTAATCCTCTTCCTAATCTCACTCCATGCATTCACGCAACAAGGATTTCAGAGGCACAAGTCTCAGCTGCAGGTTTTCTTGGAGATGTAAGGGTAGGCTTCACTCAGCATGTCCCACTGATCTTGCTTGTCTTTCTAGAAGGCAATGCTGGAGTCATTCTAATAGGTATACGTCAGCCCATTCATCTATCCTACATCAGCGCAACACATGAAAGAGCTAGTTCGCACTTCTAAGTTAGAAGAGAGCAAGAACCTGAACTGTCTTCCTTCTGTAACCTAAAGCTTGTGAAAGTTTAAAAGTGAATGCTTGTCTTCCTCTATGTATTATGAATAGAAGATGAGTTTGAAACAGTCAGGGGCTGGGCTCAGAACCAACCCTCATGTCCAGAGATTTTCTGCAAAGCAAATCCAGATACCTCTGGCTTGAGGCCTGGTGATGCAGGCACATGTTTCAAAAAATTTGGCGATTCCTGTCTGGAGCCTTTGCTAGAAACTAAACGCAGGTTATTTCAAGATAATCTGCTTATGGAAAAGGCATGGAAAAGTTTCAACTTGTATATGACCATTTCATTATAAGCAATATGGAACATGGTGTGACCTCACCACTTTCATGAGACTGTAGAGGGTTGTCTCTGAAATTAAGTTACTAAAGCCAAAAAAAAAAAAAAGGCATAAAGATATGCATGGTCACAAGAGCCTTGTAACTCTATTTCTGTTGGAAACAGACAGCCTTTGGGTCCCAAGCTGAAGGCAAGTCAAACACTTCTGTCTTGACAGAACACCTTCACCCCCAAAAGATCCCAGAAAATGTATGAAGTGGTCCCTTAATTTAATAACCAGAGCCAGTATCAAAAGAAACACTTTGTTTGAAGTGTTTTTTCTCTTCATAGAGATTACTTTCAACAGAAAAGGTATTTGTCTTAACAGGAATTTCAATATTTGGCCTAACAAAGTGATTAGGTCTACTTTAAATAAGGTGGTAGCTTTATACCTGTAAGATGAAGTTTTCTTAAAAGTCGAGTGAAGAACTTTAACCTAAACAAATAAAGAGCTTAAAAGTATACAAAAATGTATGTGATTAGGTGCTCAGATGGTGGAAGGGATTATCGGTCATTTTATGTCAGTAAAGAGCCACGATATATCTAACAATGAGAGGCAGCTCATTAATCTGAGGTGGTGGGACTCCAGTGCCAAATCAAATGAAAGGGAAATGCGTTAAGACAAGTCACTCCATTTCTCATCAGTGGGTAAGTAAGAACTCTAATGGGCTTTAAAAACATATTTTCTGGGATGTCAGAATATAATTAAAGCCTATGTTAATTCAAGTGAATAAATAGAATTCTCTTTGGAAGGGAATATTCATTTTGAATGCAAAGCGCAACAAGTCAGAACAGTAGAGCATTCTGCTTACATACGCTTGATACTTAAAAGAGAAACATTAGTACTTTTGTGCCAATGACAGCTCGTTTTCCGATGGAAGTTCTAATCTGACAGCACAGGGTGCCTTGGCAAAGAGAAATGAAAAAATTTCTTAAATGGAAGCCTGAAATATGAATTTTCACTCTCTGTCACAGGTTACAAAGTATGCAGTGTTAGAAGAGTGCATGTAAGTGAAGAACACATGTAGCCTTAAGATGCACAGTAAATTTTTACAATGTTTTTCCACTGATATTATCCTTATATCAGAGTATGCTGGAACAGGATAAGTACTGGTAAGTGAGTCTATCCAGCAGTAATAGCCATTTACTGTATTACATCATATACAGGATTATCTTTTAGACTTGAGTGTGCCTAACAGCAAAATGAGACTGTTCTATGGTTGAACAGCTTCCACCACAATAGTGGTTTGGAATACTAACATTATGTAATTGAATAATAAGTCAGAATGTCCTTTTACTTCTTGTGGAAGATTATTGCTTATTTTGAAGATACAGCAAGATTCTTCTAAAAACCACTTGTATGGCTATTAAATACAGCTGCATGCCATGACCTATGCCAAGAACTGTGCCGTAAAGAAAAGGTAGGCTACAAGCTATGGGCTTATTAATAGATTATTTCTAAGAAATAATTGCTTTTCCTGTATTCTTATATTTAACCAAGGTATTCTTCAAGAACTGGAGGAAATGACTTTGTTTGAAGAAAATAAAACAAAAAATATTTAAGGACAACATGCAGATACTAAAATAGATCTAAAGCGTTTGTCATTTTAATCACAGCAAAAATCATCAGAAGTCTACTACTTAGAATTAACAATAGTGTACAGTTTTTATGAATTTTGTGGCAACAAGTCTAATCGCATACACAATAAACTCTTTTCATGACCTAAATGGGGATAAAGTGGTTTAATGATGTTTTGATACATTTCAATTATATTTATGGAGCACTGCAATCATTCAGATACTGAAGTGTTATATCACTGCCTGCTGGCTGCAGAAAGGTGAAAAACTGTGAGTATGCTGACGGACAAAGAATAAAAAGAATTTGAAATAGTATACTACTTAGGCTTTCTGGAGATTTTAGCTATGTTCGGAAGCATTATATTTTATTTATAGCAAAATTCCTCTTTTTTCCTATCCTGAGTAAGTTTAGAAATTACTACTTCAAGTGCAAATATGTCCTTTTTACTAGCAGCAAAGTTCGTATATCTGACAAATAAGGCCAGGGAGCCATATGTTTCTCCCCTCCTTTCAGCAAAGAAGGTGGGAAAAGATGGAAGGCATCACGACGTTTTAACATTGAGATTAATATTTAATGCTTTCTGTAAGAAGCACTTGCTACTAGCCTACATGAATTCCCCAATTCAGTTAAATGTTTTCAGTCCATGTGGTTTAGACATCTAGTCACATACTATTTAAATAGGTACATTTTGAACTGAAAATTTAATTTAAAATGTGAAAGTTTTGAATTGTTCTATATTCCTCAAAATATTTTTATTTTTCTAACATTTTTCCTTTTTGATTTTTGATTGTTGTGAAATTTGGAGTTTGAACTAAAATTACCCATATATTTTGTTCCTTACGGAAGCTTTTGCTCACAAATTGTATAGAAGGATGGATTCTACTAGCTCTATTCCACTTAAATTCATTGATATTTGTGCTGGGCTTCAAACTAACATAATTGAAATGATCAGTGCTTCTGCTATTGATAATCATTCTGTGGCCACATTGGATGTCCCCCTGCGTGGTACTATATATGTACCTGTACATCTGTTATAAGGAGAACTGATATGTTTACAGTGATAAGAATAAGCATTTGTACATGGAACTGCACACAGGTAGCAATTATTGTAGGAATATATAGGGCACTGAAACAATAACTTTTCTGCTTCTTCATATTGTGAGCATGCATTCCTCTGCCATTTTATATGGTTTCCATCTAAGCAGTTTCTTCTTGTATGCTGCTTTCTAAATTTCAGATATTTCAGATCTACCCTATCATTAACAACTGTAAGTTACGTATTACCTCTCCTACTGCTTTATTATTTTCATCATGCTGCATTAGTAATTTACCCCAAATTTACCATTTCAGATCCTCTGTGAGGATAAAGAAAAAAAAAAAAAAAAAAAAAAAAAAAAGTGAAAGTCCTTCAGTCAAATTAAATTAATCGTCCCTGATCTGTTTCAGTTTTTTTTCCTTCATTAAATTACACATCAGTATGTTTTTAATGGTGATATACTATTTAACTTTCTCTTTCCTTCCTTAGTTTAGATAATTTTGGTGAGGGTAGAAGAACAAACTGTGAAAGCAAATGCATAAAAGGCCTCAGAGAGAAGGCCTCACTGTATATTTGCAGTTAACTTAATGCTTGAGCTTTTTGCTCTTTTTGAGCTTCCTAGGCTTGTGGAAGCTAAGGAATGCAAATTCAGTAGAAGCATAGCTAGAAAAATAGTTCACTTGCACAGCAGAATGAAAGAAATGCCTCTCATGGGTCTTGTTTTATTAATAAAAATGAACTTCAGCCTTTTCCCAGATATGAAAGCACACAGAAGCTCCAGTTCAATGAAGTTCTTGAGAACACATTTCAGTGTAAGCAATCAGGACCCTGCGGAGGAAGACTATACTTGTGCCTAAGCATACGCAATGCACTAAGCAACACACTTTGTGCTTTTTACCTTTTCCTCAGAAAACACCTCTTTCTTCCCAAGTCAACTTTTTATTCTAGTGACTTACTCCTACCTCCCACCCAGCCTAGATACTGTCTAAAGAACGGTAAATAACACTGCACCAAAGATATTCCTTAAATATAAGTCTACGTTCAAGTATCTTACAAGACAAAAATCTATTTCATTAGAAGACTGCACCAAAGCTGAACGACTTTCTCCCCAAATTAATCCTCAAAATGCTATAACGAAAGACAAATGTTCCCTCCATTATTAAAGAGCAGAGACCAAACTCACCTTTTTGTGCAATTACTCAGGGGTCACACTCAACTTGCTGGTAACATGCAACAGTTGACTAATGGGTCTAAAGAAGTATTTTCCTGGTTAGCTGCTGAGAAGGTGGGCCCTTTTGGTCCCTGGCGTTCATCCCAGCCATCTGTGAACTTCTCCCATTCCATAGTTCATAGCACTTTAGGGGGATTTCCAGACAGTCCTTGGAGGCTGGGCGAGATGGCATGTAAAATAGACAGTAACACATAAGACGATGCATTTATAGAAAGACATGAGGAAGAAGTGAAGCCCTGCCTTCCAAAAGGAGTTTGATTCTTCTACCATATAAGAAGTTAAGTGAGAAGCGCTACATAATCTGTTCAAGCAAAGCATAGAAAACCAGAAACCTTTAATTATAAGGTGTGAGAGTGAACTCATACATACTCAGCCACAACAATTCTTAAAATGCATACTAAACATCTGTACTCATCTATTCTTCAATAACTGTCCTTAACAAGTTAATCTGAGTTCAAAAATAATGAATAGACTTCATAGTAATTGTGCTCCGTCTTCCTCCTCAGAACTTACAGTCAGGTTATTTCTCCTAGGAAAAGCTACTTAATTCAGAACATACTGGTTAATCCTGCAGGTCAAGTGCTAGATTGCTGTACAGGCAATTTGAAATACAATATTATATCGTTATTGACCCCCTTAGAGTCTATTATTTACTATTAAGTCTATTATTTCAATGGATTTATTGAAGGAACATGATGTTATGACATCCATAGAATTATGACACAGTTCAGGAAAATGAAAGGTTTTGAAATTTTGATCATTTATCTTGTATTATATAAGTGTACACATTTGAGAGATTCAAGCAGACCATGGGATGACCTAACCAATAACACAGTATAAAGCCTAATAGTGGATACTCTAAATAAATCTCACAAGTATTAAATTAAAAATCCATAGGTTTAAATATTGTTGCAAACAACTGGTTGAGCAATTGAGGAAAGTATCTACAGAATCACTCTCTGCTTATGAAAAATTCAAAAAAAGAAAAATGGGTCAAAATAAAATCTGAGCAAGGAACCATTATCTCTGCTCATCATTTACTTCACTATTCTTTGAAATTCTTCAAATTCTAGTAAACTATTATCTGCTAGCCATACACGGTGGAAGAGGTCAGATATATATGTGAAGATATGTGTAAATTTTATCATCACTAGTAACAATAATATGTTGAAATTGTTGTTCCTTTTGTTGATTTTTTTGTTGCCATACTTTTATATTTGAAATCTGACATAAGTTATTCATCTATCAGTTTTAGATATGGCAGGAAGTAAACCCTTGCGGGAAAGATACACAGGCAATGCTGACAAATAGGATCATTTGGTTTGATAAATTGCCTAAAGGCAAGAGTAGCTGCAGGAAATCAGTAAGGTAAGTGTTTTACATTTATTAATAAAACAAAGTAAGACTTTTTCATTGTACTAGACAGTAATCAGAATATGTTTTTATTAGAGGGAAGCTTCTAGGGACATTTAGAAAATCAATTCCTATACAGTCAACATGATAAGGTTTCTGAGATTTAGTTTCATAATAAATCTTATTTTTAATTTTCCTGTGAAAACTTGGGAGACAAAATATCCATCATTTCTGCAGAGAGGAACAAAGGTTATCTTACAGAAATATATGTTATTCATCAGAATTTTGCTATATAAGACAGGAAATATACTGCAAAAGGAAAGCAAGTTTGGTATTCTCAAAATTGAATTCTAACACAAAAAATTGATTTTTGTTTTTATTCTGTAAAGTAATAAAGTAGTTCTGAGCTTTAGGTCATTTGAAATTCTGATGTAGTCCAAGTATTCTTTGGTCTTACTTAACCTCAGGAATAATATATTCCTTTCTTTTCAAATTTCTCCCATAACTGTATTTATTTATCTAAAAAAATCCCAGCAATATCCCCAGTTAAAGGAGTAGATTACAAATATTCATTCTTTTCTATTGTTCCGTCCTGTGGAATTCATACCACTGACTTCAATGAATGTTATACGCTGTGTCACTACAATTGATTTCCTTTCAGTTGAATCACAAGCACACAAGTGCAGTAAATCTAGCCTACAAGTCTCAATGCATGTATTACCCTAATGGGAAAGCATTCTAAAGGGTCTGCTGCTGCAGCATTGAATCTGCCCTTCTTCAGGTGATGATTCACAGAGCACTTATTTTAATTCAGATGACAGGACTTGTTTTCAAAGCTCTATTTTATACTGCTTATAATCAAGAGTTAGCAACTTCCATACATATTTTCATTCTTCCTTCGGTTTCAAAAAGAAAAATAGGCAACTCACAGGGGTGGGAGGTGAAGCCTTATTTGTTTTAAAATTTCACTGTTGTGTCCCACTAATAAAGAGAAGTAGTTTCTGATGGCTTTGCATGCCTATGATCAGTAGTACAGTGATATACAAGGTTTCTTCAAAAACAACTTCTGAACTGTCTAACGCTATCTGTGTCTGACCATCTATATATCCAGTCATCACAGGGAATTCAGCTTTCAAAATACAGGCAACAACTACTGAATGACAGCTTTCCATTTGCTTTATCTGTCCATGGAGCTTTCATATCAAATTAGAAGTGTTTCACAAAGGCTGACAGATTATATTAGATATTGACCCTGACTTTTGCAGCAACGAGGAGAATAGTAAAACACTAGCTTGAAGGAAGGCATGATTCTCAGTCATTCAAAGATGATGGAAAACAGACTCTCATACCAACAGGGAACATGTCAATTCATCATTTACAAGCTCTTTCTAAATTATACTCTCAATGTCCAAAATAAAGTGACTGGTAGTAAATATATTGCTTATACACCTGTCTTCCTGCTATCAAAAATTAATTCTTTTTGCATCTCCCTTCCTCTAAGCAAATAATTACAAAGGAGATTTCAGACATAATTCTCACGATAAATAAACCAGACTTGGAAGCTGACTGAATATAGTAGAAAATAGAAAATGTATTCCATTTGGCAAAATGTGGGTGAATGGCACAGTGAAATTTGACAGGAAGAATCTAGCTTCTGTGTAAGGATGTAAGGGTGTACATTTGTCATTCTAGCAGTTTGCCATTCTATTTTTTTTTTTTTTTACCTATCCTAGCCCATTGACTTATCAGCTCCCTAAAGGCCAAATTCTAATGTATATGGTCTAACTATCAACAAGAATGAAATAAGCACTTTATAGTGTCCAAATAGTGTAGCTGTCATGATGCAGGCACAGTGCAACATTTACCAGTGTGCCTCTACCAGCTCTTTATCAAGTTAAAAAAACAAAGCCTACACCCACCCGTGTTAAATCCATTATTTTTGTATTCAGGCATAAAACACAGAGGGTTCATTTGAAGCACGTTGTTTCATATTTCACTTACAAGGAATGTAACTGTATGCACTCAACGTTATATGAACCACTGTAACAAGAATTGTTTCTGAGTGAATATCTATTCTGTATAAACTCTACCCAGCTCCTACCAGAGAGGTAGTGTAGCTGATGTGGTTCTAACTGCTTCTGTGATGGATATATTTTCCTTACATGCAGACAAATAATCTCAGCCCTGCAGAAGTCAAACACATTTTCTTATGTGCTACTGACCTGTACTTATATAACATTTTCATCTCAGGACTGGTCTCAGTTTCCTCGTCTCAGCAATGGCACCTGTAGGGTACACTGATATGTATGTGAGTCAAAGGCTGGCTGGAAGATTAGAGTTCAAAAAACCTCCTTCACACACTCACACAAATCCAGCTTCGTGAACATGCATGAAGATCCTATCATTCTCCAGAGACCCTGTAATCAATTTCCACTTCTTATGGTCTTTTTATTAAGATTAAGCCTGGGTTAGCCTGCTCTGCTTTCAGATTACATGTGACAGCTAACTTGGTTTCAGTCCTGACAGAATTTAGAAATATATTTTTTCCCTATACCACTCAAAAAAAAAGAAAAATCACACATGCATGTTAATTAGTTAGGAAGGAAGGGGTAATATCATGCTACTAGCAACAAGGAAAGAACAATAGTATTAATCACCACTGTTTTTAAAGGCTCTGAACCAGTCCCTTCTTAAGGAACCTATGTGCTCCATCATCATAAAAATTAATTGAAATGCAAGAAAATAGTAAAAAATTTAAAATAAGAATCTCCTGAGAACAACAGAACACAAACAATTATTGCCTAAAGGCAGTGCAGTAAAAATGAAAAAAAAAAAAAATCCTCAATGAGCCAAAGAGGAAGGCTTTCAAATAAAGTTGTCCTTTTATGTCTGATTAAATGCATACTGTGTATTATGGCACAATTTCAGGTAAGTGCTTTCATAGTTACTTCTTACAAAAGATTGCACAGTCCCTCATAAACAGTAGAACACAGTTCTCCTTTTTCTTAATTAAAGTGGCCCAGATGTCACTTTCACTAAAATTTTAATTTCATTAAATTTACAGGAATCAAGTTATACTTCTCTTAAGTGAAAAAGGAACACTAAGAAGAGAGGAGAATAACATTTTCAGCATGCTTTGTAACAACGTAAAACTTATCTAAAAATACTAATAAAAAGGTAATTGTTTAGGTTGATCTTTTTCTTGATAACAGTAACATTTATTGTATATGGGCAGTTCAAATAAAATATTAGAAAAAATCAGCAATTATTTTCACCAAGTAGTTAAAGTTAGAGAGCTCTCAGCTAATTTTAGATGAAAATGATGACGATGTAATGAGAAATTATAATTTCTCAAATAACGAAAGATCCAGTTTAAAAGTCTAATTAAAGGCAAATTCTAAAAGAAAATAATTCTAAATTTCTAAAGAAAACAATTCTAACCATATATAAAATAGTGGGCTCTGAGATAATCATTATTATTCAGGGAAAAATTTGTAACAATTAAGTTGATAGTTCAATGAAAATATCAGACCAATGTTTTAGCAGCTCTCAAAAAAAAAGGATGTTAGCAATTATTTAAAGAGGATCTATGATTAAAATAAGGGACATCAAAATGGCATGGTACAGATCCTTTCTATACCTTCTGTACGAAGGCGTCTAGTATGTTCTGTGTGTTCTGGTCTCTCTCTCTCTCAGGAAGAAAATAGCGGAACTGGAAAGTGTTCAGAAGGGAACAAGGATGATCAGATCTGAAATCAAGATAACCAGATCTGAAATTAATCACAATCAGGTCAAAAACAGTTCTTAAATTCTGCAGATGAAATTTTTTTATTATTATTATCTAAGGACTGGGAATCACATTTAAATTGTGACCATCTCACTTCCTTCTGGTTGTTCAAAAGACACTAACAGTGGGTTTAATAAGTGTTATTTCCAAGGCAGCCTCTCACTAAAAATAACACAAAAGATTGCTCTGAAAGAGACAATCAGGCTTTACGTTTCTGGGTGCCACCCCTGTTGAACTTTTGGCTGTCACTAACGCGGTGGAGTACTCAAAGGGGTATTTGAATCCAAGATTCTACACAGAATTAAGGTCACTACAAAACTATCCACATAAGTTTTAAGTAGTTAGGCTCTGAAAGGAAAACATCTAAATTGGAAATCTATCTACAACCTGATATCAGCTTAACTGTGGGCATAGTCCATTAAGGCTGAAATCACAATTGTATACCATATGTAGTCTGTGTTTAGGAATCTGGGAAAACAGGTTCTTTAGGTTTTGTTTTCCTTTATTTACCTTTATCCTTTTCTTTTTCTTGATTTTTACACATGTTCCTGTGGTGCTAGCAGGAAGATGCCTTCCACAGCACAAAACAATTTCTGAGTGTTTTACATGGGAGAACAGCAGCTACACTTTTACAGCTGATGCCAGGCCAGGCACTGCTATTATGCTTTGCAATCTACTTCAGATTATCACCTAGTGAGCAAGTACAGGTAGTGTAAATTAGAGACTTGATATGACAGACACCATACTTTGTGAATGCGGAATACAGAATGTCTATTATACTGAAATACGTCTTACAAAAGCTGGTTGCCACTAGTTAACCCTGCCACTGCCTCTGAAGATCAGGATTACAAATGTCAAATTAAAGTCACAGTCAATAACATATCTGAAAGGAGATGATCATTTCCCTGACAGCAGAGTTACTTATCCAAAAAAAAGAGGAGATGATAATTAGGAATTGGTACTTGAGTTCTGACTACTAATCAGCACAGGGAACAGTTACAGCTGTATTTTCTTTCATTTATTGGTAAGGAACAGTCTTATAGACTTTTGCCTTGACTTGCATTTGGCCGTTACTGAAAAATTAGCGTGCTTGAGCAGCAGTGATGCTACATGTTGCTACACCAATACAAGCTGTTCTGCATAATTCATCCATCTCAGCCATTCATTCTGTTACTCATAGGAATCAATACATTAACCTGAGTCACCTGATTTATTTCAATTTACCCAATACTTCCTAATGGACATAATTTGAGACAGGCATATGTCTTTGAGGGGCAGAGAGCATGAACAAGAACCACAGCTGTAAACTCAGTAAGAGCAGTGACATAATTAGCTTGAACAAGCTAAGGTGGATTTATGCCATTTATGCATGTTGAAGCCCAAAATAATATTTTTTTCATGAATATTTGAAGTTCTAGTGGCATATAATATTGGCCAATGTAGAAAAATACTGTGTTGACAAAAATCAACACTTGTGTGAGCTACGTAAAAAGGGCAAAAGATATTTAAAATGTATCTGAATAGAAACTCTCCAGAATGAAAACAAATTAACAACAGAATAGCACATGTATAACTGTAACACAGGATTTGGTGTTAGGACTGATTCCTTAACTTCAGAATATGGTTCAATGACCTAAATATTAAGGCTGATGAATTTAAATTGGCAACAGTTACTCAGAAAGACAAGCAGGAAACTGGAGATAGTCAATGTTCATAAGTTGTTGAAGTTCAAAGTTGTTTAGAAATTATGACAGGGTAGCCTGTCACAAAAAGACTTTGTAAAATAAGCACTGTCCATAGAAGGTGGAGGGTGTAATATGTATACCAAAGCAATCATCACATTCAGCCTTTGTTCTCAATGTTCATAAAAAAAGAACAGGAATGTAACTAGTAAGAACATTGTGCATTTGGTATTGCTCAGAATATATAAAAACATTTGTCAGTGGAGCTTCAGATAGCTGTATAAGGTGTCTTTGCGCTGTTGACAAAGAAAAAAGATAGATGTACTACTTTATCCTTAGAAAAGTTTATTAGAAAAGCTAAGCCTGTGTAACATGGTACACGACAAGGCATTTTATCCTTCTGGGTATGGTAATACTTAAAATTAGGGCACTTTGCCCTTAGAACATTGTTACCAGATATCCAAGAAGTAGCAGAAATTAACATAGCAGGACCATCCCCGCTAGCGTGCGGCAAAGTGATAGGAAGTCAGAATCCCAGCAAAGCACATGGCAAATAATTTAGGACAGGCATTTGAGAAGGCAACTTGTTGTGCGTCCTATAACACAGCCAGAGAAGAAACATCAAGCCAGTGCATCTTAGACCACCTAGAAAGAAGACAGGAATAAAGTTTATGCTTAGCTGTAATGAGTGAGTAAACAAACTGGATGTATTAAGAAATTTCTTTCACTAGAGATAAATAAATAGGATGTGAGAGTCTGGTGAGACTCTTTTAGGAAGGTGTGGGCACTGCACATCTCACGCTTTTTGCTGAGGAGTGGGGAGCAGCAAGGGGAGAAGTGTTAAATACTTTTCAGAATTATCATTAGGATTCAGTGCTTTAGGTCAAGAATATTAAGAGGATACAACCAAATAACGAAAGGACGGAGAACAGCTGTGAACTGCCTCCTATACCAGACTCAAAACCTGTGTTATAGGCCTAAAGCTCCCATGAGGGAAGACTGCTAGTGCCTCCATTCTGAATACTATCCTCCATGAACACTGGAATCCCTCAAAAAAATCTTTATTTTAAAACCAAGATTGCTTATTTTACTTACAAACACTAAGTTTGACAAATGATAAAAGATGACACAGCCTTCAAACTCTGTATATTCCAGTCAGGCATACTGTCAGGTTAGTAAACTCTACCTGCCATGAAACAAGAGAATTGTTTCAAGCACCTCAAGATAATTTCAGTGAATGTACATGCAATTTTTCCAGGTCAGTGTTGCCAGAACCCGCAAAATAGAATACATTTTGGGTATGAGTAATATAAGAGAAATTTTTTTATTCATAAATAATAGGTAATACAATTAGACTATAAGTCATAATCACCAAATAGAGCAATGGAATTCTAGAAATATATACAAAACAAAGGAAGAACTTTCTGTCTCCTTAAGAACACATTAATCATTCAATTAGAAAATACATTGTTTCCAACATTGAAATAAAATTGTTACTATAATGCAGCCAGAAAAGAAATAAACAGCCAGAAAAACGTAAAAGCATTTTAAGTGTCCTAGATATTAAAAAATATCAAACAAAAATCTAAAAAAGAAGGAAATAAAATTAATTGTTATATGACTAGAGGAGCAATACTGAGGTTCAATTTTCTTTCAGCATGAAGTGGTATAAATCAGTCTAGGGTGGTAATATAAAACTGAGATTCAGGTCCATATTTTCTTAGATCTTTTAGAGTTCCATAGATGTTTCATTTTCCTGGGTTTTGATTACTTCTTATTATAAATCAAGATTGACTGTGGACATAGTTCATTTGCAGTAGATAAATGAAGTAGTAAAATGCTCTATGTCATATTTGACTTAGAACTGATTCCAAGACGGCGTAGACATTCCCCAAAACACAGAAATATTCTTCCTAAACCCTACATAATTATGTGCATGGTATACATCTGGAGAAACTTATACTATAAATTCATATTAACTTAAGTGGTGTATCAGAACTAATTTTTGGTATAAATATCGTATTTTTACAGTGAGTATTGCCCCTTTTGTTCAACTAGACAACATGGAAGATAATCAAAGAATTGTATTTGAAGGATTAACCATGTGCAGGACAGATGATTAGACAATATCCACCACTCCTGTGATTTAAATAAGTTCTTGGAGTTTTTAAGTCTTTCTCTTTTTAAATGAAAGAATAGTCTCAAATACTGAGTAGTAAAAACATAAAACAATCCTTACTACAGCTAAAAAATCAATACCATTTGACTCGGTGTTTTCTACCAGACTTGCTCTCAGATTTCTCCATCTGTAATTAATTTCTATCCTACACAGCAAATTTTCCCGAATTTCTGATATCATTAAGCATATTTATCTAAAAATGTGAATGCCAAATCAGTTTAGTTGTAGGCTAGCTTAGGTATTTTTTATTTCACTTTATCTTTAATTTTTCCTGTGCAGAATCTCTCTCCTAAAAGATACTTAGAAGAAATACTTAACTCTTATATAATTGCTTTTCAGTAGTGTGTATCAAAGCATCTCTTTAACAATTTCATGTTAAGTAACTTTAATGCCTGTTCAAATTCTTCTTGTAGACAAATCTGATCCATACCAGAATGTATGTTCATGCTATGTTCCCTAAATTACTATTCTCTACTCACTCAAGAATCAATTTTAACTCTCAATCCAATGAGAATCAGCTGAGACAATAGTCAGTTTTGCAAGTTAATTAGGACTAGGTAATATTATCTTTTAAGGGCACTAACAAACAGTTGAATATAAAGCTGGAACAGGATCTTTGTTCTAACCTAAAGTATCTTCAAGTTAAAACAGGACAGTTACCTCTAGCTAAAGTACAGCAAGATCTGAGATCTCTTTTTCTGACAGTTTCTATGCATAAAAGATTAACAAATGCACAGACTTTGAAAAATTAAAGTAGCAACCATAATCTTTTATATTCATACCTCTTTTTACTGACTGTACATAAGAAGGCTAGTCCAACTACACTACCTGTTTAGGTCATTTGCTTTGTTCTTCTATTCAGCATAATTATATTCAGAGGAACATTTGTTATGAAATTTATGTGACAGAGTTCTGAATTGTCCCCTTGCCTTACTGTCTGGAAAAAATAGCATTTCATATTAATATCATTTCTAAAAATACTAATTCTTATTTAAAAAATAATAAAGAGGTTGGTTGAATTTCATCTAAATAATTTATATATAGGTTTATATATAGTTCAGAATTACTTAAACATATACTTAATTTAAAGTACGTATTCAATTCTATTGTAATCAATAGACTGACTGACTGAACCTCTCGTTATATGCTTACATATTTTATTCATCAAAATCTTTCACTTCTTGCATTTTATTTACTACTACTCTATTTTTAATCAAAACTTTAATTTATAACAGTACAAAGGCAAAAAGGATGGGCAAAACTGTTCCAAACTCCATTCTTAAATGGTAAGCTAATCAGAAAAGTGTCATTTCGATATGTCTGTGTGCAATACACAGTTTACGGCACAACCATTCCAACATATTTAAATAAAAAATACCAGGATTCTAAAAAATAAGGAAAGTTTTAGAAAAGTAGATATGTTCTTTTTTCCCAAGATTCAATGGGGCAAAATGACAACCTACTGAAGTCATGACCACTTGATCGCTCAGGTTACTCAGCAGTTATATTAAGTCATTTCTTAATATTTTTATTTTTTCACTTATAACTTATATTTGTTTATAATAGCAAAGCACTGTTTTTAGAACAAGAGTCTACGTTGATTGAGAGCAGCTTAGGCTCCTGTTCTACATATTAAATATAAATCCTGAAAAGTCAGTGGGAAATGGCAGGTACAAAGCCTAAGTTTATGTGAAATCTGAAGCCAGTTGTTATAGATCATGCAACAAAATGCGCCATATTCAGGCAAACTCAACCTGGAAGAGAAATCCTACTTGCTTTAAATGCATTAACATTTCCTCTCTAAATGGAGACCAAGATCTCCTTGCAAATAAAATAGACGTGAAGACAATTGTCAGTTGTAATAATTGTAAAATTTGAGAATAGAAGTATAAAAATTTGAGTTTTAAAGGACAAAGTAAGAATTTATGAATATGACACTAAATTTTAACGAAAATTTGAAAGTCCTATATTTATAAAGGTCTATCTAGGACCCAGGATAGCAAAATCTCATGGTGGCAGCCTTTTTCTGGAGCCCTTTTACTAAGCTGGAAGGAAAAACAATGACTACTGTAATAAAGGCAACGCACTGGAGCCTCTGCCTGATGGTATTTGCATCATACATCTGTACAAAATACTCCTGAGACATTTGTAATACTTAGCTGCAAACTAGTAATCGCTAACACATGGGTGATTAAAAGATCCTGGTAGTGGTTTGGGTTTTTTTCCCCCTCCCTTCATTAATAGGTCCAAAACTTTGAAGTTTTCTATTTAGGAAAATCTGCTTTTCTAAAGCAGCATAAAAGTATTTTAATATGCAACCAATGTTTTCAAGAAACTGACAAAAATAAAGCTATAATTTTCTGTCTACAATATATTTTCCTCTACTTCAATTACTAAATTACATACTTACACTCAGAAGCTATCTCTCAGAATCAAAATGTCGGTTAAATAAGTACTTTTGAGCCCATAGCACGCAATAAAAAATACTTTGCTAGTAAATTTCTGCGTACTGCTAAGAAAATTACTTTTGGAAAATTATCCTTTTTTTAAGGAAAATTGTTAATAGTATTACATCTTTAACTATAAAATTTAACATGTTCCATTCTAAGTCATAGAATATTTTTCCATTTTTCATCGGTGAATTAATCAAATTTTTTTTTATAAAGTCACAATCTAGAAAATAGAAGAATTCATTCATGTAGCAAAGTCATGGCACTCATGCCTAAGAATTTAATCTAAAAATATAGTTTTTTTCATAAAAAAGATATTTCATATACAAACATCTAATCAAAATCATAGGAAATAGGTCATGAGAAGAAGTGGATTTGGATTTGTACACTCTCCTTGAGCGCTTCCTACAGGGTTGTGCTCCATACTATAGTCTTTGTATTGTGGAGGTTTATACAGAACTCTGATATTGGTATCATTTTCATTAATAGCTTTACATTGAAGATTTCTAAATTGCTTCTCATTTCTAGGTCTATTTCTACAAATTAAACTGAGATCTTATTTCTATAGTATTTACCCAACTCCGTGGAAAACAGTATCAGTTTACCTTGTCTAAACACGAAATGAACCATGACTTACCATGAGCCATGACCTCAGAATGGTGTACTTTCTTCAACTCGTCTGAATAAGTAGTATTATTGCATACAGATCAATGGGGGGTTGATTCCTGACATGGGCTGGATGATATATACATGTTTATTGGGCTAAGAAAATGTTAAATTGTTTAACAGTGAATCAACTCTTTTTACATGAATGTAAAAGCAGCCTCTGACCCTTGATGAAAGTGCTGATCCAAACGAAAATGTTAATGCAAGCAATTTTCTTTCCGATATGTTTATGTATCTCTCTGCAATATGCTCTTTCATAAGCATAATTTGATCTATACTTCTTCACTGTTGCTTCTGTGGTGTTCAGACTTCAAACAGAGTCCTAGTAAACTCTGGTGTCAGGTCTGATAGGGACCAGAGGCTGGGGCCAGGCAGGGACCAGACTAAATGGTTGTGTTTTGTGGTGATGAGTGGCAAAGAAGAGGAAGTAGTCAACCCATGATAATGCTCTCTACTTCAGATGAAGTCAAAGTCTATGGCGAATAAATTTAATAGAATAATTTTAGTAGCATGGACAATAATATTATGCCCAAATTCAGTTTTTAATAAAGGTCAAATACTGAAAAAGCTCAAATAATAAAACTTAACAATTGATCAAGCTGTACGTGTGTGTGGGTGTATGTACAGATATAAATGTGATGTCAGTATAAACCTAAATATGCACAAAATGTCTACAGGCACTGTGTTCAGTCACTTGTGGTATAGATTATAACAAAAAAAAAAAACAAATTCCATAAATGTTATCCTCTTCACAAACATTTCTGTGTAAGTTCACAACCTGTACCAAAATATTGGCTTATAGAATTCTTAGGAAGAGAGTCAAATCAAATATTTAACAAGAGTTCAAATTTTGATAGAC